TCGGGTTGTAGAAATTGAGTGGGAGGCTGGAGTGGACTCAGTGGAGGCTAGGGGTTTGTTACTTTTGTAGTTGGGTTTTGGGTTGGTTAGCAGTTACGGGTTTGGAACTTTGGATACGACCCAAATTCTTATGTTTATTAAATTGCTGATATCCGTATCCGCAACCCTTATATATCTGTATCTGAATCAGTATCCGAAAAAAATCAAAACAGGATCAGTATCTGAAACCGTATCTGCCCGGATTTAAAAATAGCTTACTATATCTACATTCGTTCCGATACGGATGCGGATCTGTTCGGATAAAACCGAACCGTTTGGCGCCCCTAGTAGTAACACATGCTAAACATATGATATAAAACTAAAAAAAATCTAAAAACATCTAAATGGAGATATCAAAGAAAAATGAGATTGAAAATTCACAATATCAACGCATTAAAAATACTTTGAAAATATCAAAGTAACAAGTGGCACAAACTTTAGAGTATGAAAGTGAAAATAAGCGATAATTAAAATCCTAAGAAATTATGAGTTCCTTTCTTTAGATGTTAGGCAGTCTCTCAAGTATTCAATAACTCCATATTAGCCCCTCATATCTTTGAAATTGCGAATCCCTCAAGGAATACGGGATATTGCAATTTGATTTATCAATTACCAAAGTACCCCTTGACTAATATTTTATAGAGAATAGCGTTTTGAGGAAACATAAAATTAGGGAAGGCAATTTTTGCCCATGCCCATTTACCCACCTAGCCCGCCCATCAATTGGCCCGTCCAAAACCCACCCATTTAGTTAAATGGGTCTAATTGGGCGGGTTCATTTCAAACTATTCTAAATGGGTACTAAACGGGCGGTCTATATTCGCCCATATGCCCACCCGTATTCCCAAAACCAAAACACGAAGCCTGACGGTCTTCTCATTTCTTTCGGTCGCTGACGATAAGTTTTCGACTTCTCTTCTCTTTTTCGATCTCTCTTTTGTTCGATCAATCGATCTCAGTACTCTCAATGGCGGATCAGCTGACGGAAGATCAGATCTCGGAGTTCAAGGAGGCCTTCAGCTTGTTCGACAAGGATGGAGACGCTGTAATCGCCTAGATCCCTTTCTTCTCTCCTTCTCTTTCCTCAAATCTGTGTTTTTTGATGAATTTGAGATGATCTTGTTCTGAATTAGTCTTGAATCTGTTTGTTTGCGATTCTTTAGGGTTCGGATTTGTTTGTTGCCATAGAAATCGTGATTTTTAAGCTTTATCATGTAGTTAGGGTTTCATTGATCCTTTATTGATGTTCAAGATCAATTCTTGTTTATTTAGTAGTTAGAGTTGGATTCCGTATAAGTATCGTTCAATTGTATAAATTTTTTCGTAAAAAAGAAATTCTTGTAGTTGATTATTACTGGATTATAAATTATGTTATTTGCGTATATTCCATCCAAATCCACCGATTTGCAAATTTACCCTCCTAATCTATGTGCATTACTGATTGTTTGTAATTTAGGCTGAATCTTATAGTTCATTTGTTTGTAATAAAACTCTTTATGAGAATATAAAGGGTTTAAAATCTTATAGTTCATTTGTCGGATATACTTGGCTGCTCTAGATTATGCTTATCTAAGAAGGGATTACTGCTACATATACATAATCACAATAGAGAGAAATAAGTGAGCAAAATTTGTATTTGTTATACCCCTTTCTCTTGAATTCAAAGCCCTAAAGTTTGTTTCTTTTTCTTATGAAATAGATTTTATTTTGTTATATAAAACTTAACCTAAATCCCCTAAAATTTAGTACAGTTACTAGTTAGAATGGTTCAATATGAATCCATGAATATGAATTAGTAATTTTACCAACAATTAGTAGTAATTTTAAGATTACCAAGGCCTAACCACTCCCAATAGATAGCAAAGCACAACAATTGGAACGTTTATCAGATACTGGCCAACGTACCCACCCATGGATGTTCGACTTCCTCATGAATTGAACGTTTATCAGGTTAATTAATTAGAATATGTACACCTCTGTCATTCTTTGAGTTATCCTTCTTTTGGAAGTTTTCTTTCTTTCTTTCGCCAACACTTGGGAGTTAAATGTATATTTCTTTATCTTCTTTATCAAGTGCAAGACCATTGAAATAAATAGGGTGAAATTCAACTCTCTTGTAAGTTGTAATAGCATGATGTTCTGAAGGTGATTTATTATCATTTAAGTCTTAGCAAATTGTAAAATAGAATCCTCACTCATTTTTCCATAGATCTTGATATTTACAGTTCCAACATACTTTCCTTGGCTCTCAATATGTTCCGTATAATTTGGGTTTGCACCTTTCAGTCATGTCTCTTCTCCTTTTGAGCAGAAAGGACTAGTGAGAGAACCTTGCTGGCTTGCTCAAACTAGTTACTTTCTTCTGTAAGGCCAAACATGAGGCTTACAGGCCTTTAATATCATAATATGAGCAGGGTACAAGCTATACTCATGCACTTGTTTAATGAAGATTTATTGGTGAAACAGAATTATGATTTTACATATATAGACAGAAAATAGGCGAAGTGTATGACTGTAAGAGGATGCAAGAGAAACTGACATTGCAGAATATATTCAGTAAGAATCTGAATTTTCGAGGAAAAAAAACCAGTGAGGTGTTAGTGATGCGAATTGCAGATGTACAGAACACGATATTAGCAGTTCCAATTATATGTCTTTGAATTAGAATATGTTTATTTCTAAAAAAATTATTGTTGGTGGTTCTGTCGATGAAGGATCTGTAAGATAATCCTATGCAAATGTGGTATTCCTGTATAAAAAGACCTATAAATATGCCCACAACCTTGACCATTAGTAATTGTGCTCCTTAACAATTTTCATGGAAATGTCTGTTTCATATTTGTTTAATCATGGTTTCTTACAGTTTTATTCACTATTTAGTGATGTTTTGTGACAGAAAGAAGAAGCAGCTCATCAGCACCAATTTATTTTGCATGCTGCTTTAGATATTGTTCAGGACCTTGCATGGACAACAAGTGCCATGTGAGTCTTTTTGTCTTAGGCTTACAGTGTCAGTGCAGTATTGTTACACATATATTTTGTATTAGTTTCATGCAGATAAAAAATAGATAATGTATGCTGCAATGTCTTTGTTGATTGTTCTGTATTAGTATTTTTTTGGCTTTATTTAATCTCTGTGATACATGCAGGTTTTTGAAGGCCATTGACAGGTTCAATGACTTGGTGGTGTCTGTGTATGTAACTGCTGGTCATATCCTATCAAATAAATTATTGTTGCAGTTGTTTTTTGATGGATAAATGACTTGGCTGATAATACCTGCTTAACTTATTATATAACAGTTTTTTTGGGTGTTTAAGTTTTATGGAGATGAACACACTAACATATTCTTGTATCTTTTGGATAGGAAATGAGCAGTAGCTCTCAAAGTAGTGATAAAGTTAACTTCTGCCTTTTTTTGTAGAAGTAAATAAAATAACATGATTGTTGGAAAATGAGGTATTCTTTTTTGAAAGCTAAATGGCAAATACTCTTTGCAGTATGGGCTACTTGCTAATTTTATTATTGTATTGTATTCTATAAAAGTGCCTTGTTTATGTTGGAACATGTTAACAATTCTGATTAACCTGTTTTCTCATTTAGTAACATGTTGACCATCATAATTTCTTTGTATAGTCCAGCACTGTGTAAATACTTTGTCTTCCTTAACCAGTTCTATCCACACACTAGATTGATGCTGCTTCATGATTCACGTAATGAGGATGGGATAAAAAGTTTTTTCCAAGAGGTTCATGAGCTTTACATTAAGGTAATTCTGTTGCTTCTCATCTACATTTTATACTGAAAGAACTTCTCGGCCACATTTCATCTTTTTTAATTCTAACAACAAATGTTGATTCTTTTTGCATATATAATTCGTATTCTGTATTGCTAGATGCTTATCTTTTTTTCAAATTGTCTCACATCTTTGTTATCACTTTCTAAGTCTGGTGCTCAACAGCCTCAACCGCCTCTCGAAGCCAGAGCCACCCATGCTGTAATTGTCAACACTCTCTTGAAGTCCTTCTACAAATCTTTGGGGTTGGCTGTTTGAGTTGTTTTCCTGCTTTCACATTCATAACTGCTGACTGCTGCTATCTATGTAAATGTTCTCCTTTATCCTGACTGCTGCTATCTATGTAAATGTTCTCCTTTATCCTGACATGGTATTGTCATTGAAAAGAAGATGGGATTGTTCATGGATGTCCTCATGGTTCAAAGGCATTTTGGGTTACTTGCAATGGCATCTTGCTAACTTTCATTGTTCTTGAGCTCAATGGCATTTTGTTTGCAACTTTGCATCTTGTTAACTTCTGTTGTGAACACTGCATCATATTGGTAATCCTTCCTTGTTTTTCTGTTCTTTTTTCTATGCATATCCTTGCAAATTTTATTCCTCGTGTCTTCTTAACAAGTGAAGTGGGCAGATGAGTGCCTGTGTGAGCATCATTTTTCTACTGAACCTATATATTTGCAAATATTAAATGGATAACTAAATTCAGGTAAGTCAATTCAAAAGGGATCTGAAACTAATTTTTCTTTTCGTTGCTTCACACTTTATCAACAAATCAGACACAAAGGAAACTTATTTGATTGTTTAGGGTGTGTTTGGCAATTGCTTGAAACTGGGCCAGGTTTGAAGCTGTTGAAGATGATGTTGCTCCTCTAACTGAAGTTTCAAAAATTGCTCCAACTCTGGCATATACTGGTTAACTGACTGTTGATGCTGCAGAGAACCTTGAATTTGTTCAATAAATGGCACAGACGAATTCTGACGAGAAAGCAAGCGCTGCTGCTGAAGCTGTTGTTGCTGTTGTTGCTGTTGTTGTTGCTGCTGCTGAAGTTGCTGAAGCTGCTGCTGCCGAAGCAGTTGTTGCTGCTGCTGCTGAAGCTGTGATTTTGGTTGATTTTGGTTGATTCTGTAATATGTTTATACTGTTTCCTTGCGTTGTGATTATTGTCAGTCGCAGCATTGTCAATTTGGGGGCTAAGATTTACTTTCTCGTAAAATCCCTCCCTTTTGATCTTTGTTTCCTGGTGTTGATTCTGTAATATGTTTATACTGTTCATGCCTGAACATTTGAAAGATGGGAAATAAGTAGACTATGGTTGTGCTACTATTTTGTTTATAGACGAACTTACTACTCTTCTAGTTTATCAAGTAATTAAGTAGATTGTCCTTACTAATCGTGATCGTGTTGCTGATAGTTATGATGGCGTTTATATCAAGTTATTGATCTTATACAGATCCTTGCATACCTTGTGTTTTCTATCTTAATTCATTTAAATATACTCGCAATTTTGTTGTTATTGATCTTTTGGTTTTTGGTTTGGAAATTTGAGGTTAATTTTGCAAATGTGTGAGGTTTGTACTTTTATCCAGGCTTGTAAATGGTTCAATCATGAATTTGTCTGCATTTGTTTATCTTTGTTTATGTTCCTATCTTTGTTAGTATTTTATCAAAAGCCCCAACAAGTTTGCAAAAAGCTCCCAAAAAGTTTGCAAAAAGCCCACAATAGTTTAAAAAAAAAACCCCTAAATGTTTACATAAAACACCCCAAAAATATTATACATATATATGTACTATAGTTAAATGGGCAAATGGGCGACCCGTTTATTAAATGGGCGGGCAAAAACCCGCCCATTTAAATAATGTTAAATGGGCCATAAATGGGTAAATGGGCAAAACATGCCCGCCCATTTATGGCCCGCCCATTTAAACCCATACCCACCCATTTAACATCTCTACATAAAATGAGGGATATTTTTCATTGAGTGATCAAAACTCAGGACCTGTTAGGACTTGAGGAACCTATTAGCAATTTCAAAGATGTTGGTGTCTAATATGAAATTACTGAACATTTGAAGGAATATCTAAATAACCCTTATACATACTTTCCGCACGGAACGTAAACACCAAGGTGTGATTAGGTGTAAAACGGGGTCCACAAGATGTAGACAACTCGCGTAGTGAAGACAGTGGGCACAACATAAAGGAGCCGGTGACGTCAGAAGAAAAGTATCGATTATCAACAGACCCAAAAGAAGATGGTTAAATAAAGAGATTAATAGGTATCCTCGTCAAGAAGGAGGTTTTCCTCATTAACGTCTATGTGATACAATCTTTACTATCCTCATAAAATAGAGGAGAGAGTGTGTGAGTTGGTGGGATTGTGACACATAGGTGTCAAGGAGGAAAATCTCATCCTTAACATAGAACACTCATTAATCTCTTAAATAAATTAACGTCCTCTTCAACAAGCAAGTCACTAAACTCTAAGAGTATGTTTATCAACTTCACAAAACTAGTTTTAATTGGTACAATTTTAATCTAAAAGTTAGGTTTTAGTTTGGCAATAATGGGGCCATAGTTAAAGTAGTTCTCTTCAATTTAAAATTTAGGCTTTAAATTAGTCTTTTTTAACCACAATCTATTTGGATGAACTTTGACCTAGCTAGAAGAAAACTAGACTTGGCTTACTCTTTTTTTTAAAGTTATCAAACACATCCTAAAATTAGACCAATTTAAATCTTTGTCTAGTTTTAATATAGTTTTCCGTTTGAAAAAAGTTAGGCCGGAACTGGTCCAACTTATTTTATCTTTTTAACCTTTTAACTAGCCTAGAATTGAATCACTCTCTGCCTAGTTCAATTCTGGTCTGGTTAAAAAATAAAATTAGATTGGTCTAATTTCTGTCAGGTTGCCAAATAGGCCCTTAGTATCCAAGTAGATATTATTATTATTATTATTATTATTATTATTATTATTATTATTATTATTATTATCATAACAAACAGAAACCTAGTTATGATTCTGTAGGATTAATGTTATGCCATTAATTTTTCTGATAAAAATGATACATGACAACTAAGTTAGTATATTATACACACACACACACATTCTTGAGTAACTTCAATTCTGGTTTTTACCAAATCATGAACAAGATACACATTCAATTGTGGAAATTACTCACTTTATACAAAAGAGAATTGTGTTGCGTACAAAGGATTGTTAAGTATAGATATCATTTTCCTTTGTTAATAAACATAACTGTTGATGTCTTGAGACTCAACAGTGGGATTAGAGAATAATCTCGAATGAGCAGGGTCGATATGGATGATGTAGAGGTCCCCTCATCTCCTTTTGATAGCCGATCACCTATTAGGATAAGAGAGTTACAAAACTATAAGCATGTTAGAGGACCGGAGTTGGATTCTTCGGTAATTCCTCCGATAATCAAGTCAGTATAGAGCTTGAGTGAGGAATCAATTAATCGAGTAAGTTCTATGTGTGAGTGTGTGGAGTTTGTAATAGTCAGTAGGTTACCCTACTTAGCCAGAAATGGCTTACCTGTAGCCTCCCCCCCCTCCCCTCTCCTAGCGCTAGTAGGCAATGGGCATATATATACTCAGCTTAGAGGGGACACATGCATAACTCTGGCCGAGTCCAGGCAGACAGCTGAATCCGCATATAGCTTATAGTTGTCGATTGTAGGTGAGATGAGTCACCATTAAGTTTGATGTGATGGTGATTGAGAGGGCATGATACTAATGATAGGTGATGAATCATGGACACTCGTGTTATGAGATGTCGTGATGATGCCCAGCTGTTGACGCGGAGTTCAATGACTAATCACCTCTAGAATAGGCTTTGCTAATGGGACGATAAGTTTCGTTTTTTTTTGTCGACCTTGCAAGTTTTTGACCTAGCCTTGAGTTATGTGAGCAAGGTTGGGTCAAGTGATGAGGTCGAGTAAGAGCTTATCTTGACTCGACCTTACTCGGAAGGGATGAGTGCCCATGCTATCCGAGTCATCCTGGCTAGGGCAAGCTGATTTGATGATTAGTGTTAATATTAGACATGTGTCGACTCTAAGGAGATGATTAGCACTGAGGGTTGATTATTGACTTAATATTAGCCCCTTTCGCTCGAACTTGACGTAGACGAGTTCGAGTGAAATAGGATTGTCACTGGTCAGGTCCTGAGGTGCATTTATGAGGGGTTGCTGAAGAGTTTCTTCTGATGTGATGTTGCAGATGTCAGAGAGGATCTTGTGCAGCCATTGTCTCGATTCTTGTGCGAATATTGTGTGCTAATCAAGATGAGCGGCACTTTAGTTCTAAAGCGATCGCCTAGTATTCTGGGAACGATCCTGGATATTGGTTAAGAGCTGAGTCGGCCATTGCGATCTTACTACATGTCGGCCCTTGTGCTTATAAGGACAACTGTTCTGTAGAGGAGATTGCTACTTTTGATATTCTTAGACTTTCTTCTACCATGAAAGAACTCTGATCTACTCCATATTCTCTTCTCTAGTGAACTTACTGATTTGATGGCATCTTCATCTTCAGTGGTTAGGAACGAGGCCTGGATCAACCACCTTCAGAAATTTCTCTCTAAGGTGTCATCGTCGTTACTGGACACTCTGTATGGCAAGTATGATATCCCTAGGGTGTTCACCCTAATGACGCTAGCACGTATATAGGTGATCTTCGACCACGACAATAATATAGCTCTGGTGTACTGAAGCATCCGGAGTATGGGTTGTGCGTGCCGCTGCACCCCTTCCTCCGCGACGTCTTTAAAACTCTATTGTAGATGAAGTCAAACTCCATCGCCACTTTGGTAGAGTTTGTTATAATTTGTCACTGGCTAGGAGTCGAACTGACTCTGAGAGTTCTTGGCCACCTCATCTGCATGAAGGTGAATCAGCAGGAGGCCCATTATTACCTCCAAATCCTGGAGCAACAAGATCATCTCCAATGCTCTCGAGTCCAACAAGGACTGGAAGGAGAGATTCATGTGGGTGTTTTGAGGTGATGTCGTCTTGGGTTGATCCATGTGGCTCAATATCAACAAGGATGCATTTAGGTCGGGTCTATTGTCGAGCAACGAGAAACATGCGCTTGACAAGATCAGGGCATATGCTGATGCTCGTCAGAGTGAGAACCTCTTTGACAACTTAGTCCTGTGAGTTGTCGACATCTCCTCAGTTCCTCTCACCACGGATGATGAGGCACAATTGGTTATGTTGATAATAGGATCAGAGGAGACCGAGGTGGTGCCGGTGGCTCTACTCGCTTGAACTCAAGGAGGGCCCTCAACGAGCCAAAGCTTAGCCCTTGAGGAGGCTGAGAGGGCACAGAACAATGCGGCTAAAATAACAACTCGACTAGCCGAGTCGAGTACCAACTATGACATTTGGAAGTGTGCTGAAAATGGCTACAAAGAACCCACTACTATTATAGAAGGTGTTATAGGGAACCATCGATGGTCAGCTATACCATTGATGGACTACAGTGCACATTTGATAAATTCTAGAAAGTAGATTTTAGTGTATCGATGGATTATAGGGAAATTACTGATGGTGCATAGGGAGCATCGATGGTCGTGTTAAACTATTGATGCGATGGCATACTTTGGCGGATTTGATATTTTAATCTCGACTATTAGTTGACCTCTTTCATCTCTAACTTCTGCTATGGTTCCTATATTTCTTTCCTTTATTATCAAAATCTATATAAGATAGGAAAAGATCATATTTTGGAGAGGTTCTTGCATTGAGAAAAGGAGAGAGATTTTATTCTAGGGTTCGTGTGAAGTTGACTTGTGATTCAATCCCTAGAGCCTCGTCAAACTCTTTCTTAACGCGCTCAGCATCTTAGAATCATTTTAGTAAGGAGAGTTATGGGTTTAAAATCATCACCTCTTCTTCATCAAGCTTCGTTTTAACTCTTTTGAAGAATGGTTTGCTTAGAAAGAATTATAAGATCTTTTTGATTTGCGTTTAAATTAATTTGGTTGGCTTGTTATATCTTGTTTTTTCGGCATACTCAAGTCGGTGATAATTAAGGGTTGAGACTAGCTAGGGCTAGATGTTACTCATCAGTGAGATGTTAGGTTAGACGACTGGTTTCGGATAGATTCTAATGTTCTGTCTTTGTAAGACTACCTGAATCAGGTTGTGATTTAGATGAATTCTGGTTATAGTAAGGAAGCATCTTTGTAAGAAGGATGAGTAAAAGTAGGATTTTTATCTGAACCATTATTAAATCTTGCATGTTCTCTGGTTTGTTTTTTGTTTAGCTTTTTTTTTGCTTTTATTTTGATATTATTTCCACTACAAGTTTTGTATTTTAGCCAAAATTTGTAGTAAACCTATTTTGTCCTCCTCAAGGCTTGCATCTTAGATCCAACACACTCAAGAAAAGCATAAACTATTAAACT